ATATATACATAGATAGATAGATAGATAGATAGATAGATAGATAGGATAGATAGATAGATGATAGATAGATGATGGATGGATAGATAGATGATAGATAATAGATGATAGATATAGATAGATAGATAGATAGATAGATAGATAGATAGATAGACAGACAGATAGATATATAGATGACAGATGGTAGATAGATAGATAATAAATAAATGTAATAAGAAATAAAAATAAATTAAAAGCCCCTGGGAGAAATTTGGTCCATATAAACCAGCGTAACAAACATCCTGCAAGGCCATCTCTCATCATTTGTCATAGGTGTGTCCCTACTACTACTGAACTAAGCAATTTTATATATAAATATCATCTTTTTATTATTTTATTATTTTATGTGAGATATTTTGCCTGCACATGAGTACACCACATGTGTACAATGCCCATGGAGTCCAGAGAGGGTATCAGGTTCCCTGGAACTGGAGTTACAGATGTGAGTCTCCATGTGGGTGCTGGGAACTGAACCTTGGTCCTCTGCAAGAACAGTCAGTGCTCTTAACCTCTAAGCCATCTCCCAGCACCTAAATTAAAATTGCTATAATCATCCTGACTCATTCATTTAAAGCCAGAAATTTCACACCTTAAGGTACAGAAATGCCAAGTACTTACTCAAAGCCACATGTTAGTGAAATGCATCTGGAGATCCATTTGAAGTCACACAGATGGTGTTGGTGATATATTTTGTTAAATTTGTAGTATCTCATTTTTAAAAATATTTTATTATTTTTATTTTATGTGTACGAGTGTAGTGCCTGGATGTATGTGAGTACACCCATGTCGTGCAATGCCATGGAGGTCAGAAGAGGGCTTCAGATTCCCCGGAAACTGGACAGTTCGCAGCTGCCATATGGGTGCTGGGACTCGAACCCATGTCCTCTGCAAGAGCAGTCAGCGCTCTTAAACACTGAACCATCTCCCCAGCCCCAGAGAAACTGAGAATCCTACCAAACGCTAGCCCTCTAAACATCCCTTCATGTACTGCCTTGATCCTTCTGCAGACTAGTCCTCCCTACTGAAGCCCAGGACTCTTACATTGCTTCTCAGACCATGGCCCAGCTGCCTGTTGGTTTTATAGCCTTCCCAGATCTTCAGCTCAGTCTTCTGAGACCCAGCCTTAAACCATCTTCGTTTCCTTTAGGTTGGCTTCTGGCAGGCCACTCCACTTCTAAACTCGGCAGGGAAGAACGTTTTTGGTTCTGTTAATGGTTCTGCAATGGCACCATGCTTTGTTCTTTATCTTCATTCTTTCAGATAAACAACGGTACCTTACTATTGGATAAGGGCCTATCAGCAGTTAAATAAATTTTTGAAATCATGGATCCAGTATTTACTCATGTATGACCTCAAGTAAATTACTGTCACCCAGTTTCTTCATTTGTAGAATGGAAGTAACACATGTTCAACACCTTGGTTTCTTGAAAGTATTAGAAAATTAGATGAGATTAAATGCATAACTTTAGGACCAGCAAATGGTAAAGGTACACGGAGCCAAGTCTGACAACATGAACTCACACCTGGAACGCACAGAGTAGAAGGAGGGAGCCAGCTTCCAGGGGCTGTCCCCACACATGCTGTGGTATGTATGCATGCACCCACACAGGTACACACAGGCACACACAAAAATAAACAAATAAATGCAAAAATTTTTAGATGTGCAGTTGTAACACAATACTTGGCACAGAAATAGCATTCATATATGTAGGGAAGTCTTATTATTATTTTTATTATATAAGATCATATTTTACCATTGGATGCCTATTTTCCTGACATCCTCCAGGTAGCATATATTCAGTACAGCATCCTTAGTTACTATCACAGTGCCCAGCCCTACATGAGTCATACGACATTTGATGACTGAATGAATGAATATTGTGAATAAACCCCTTATCCAATGCATCACAAGGTACTCACACATACCACTTCCTAGTGATGCAATGAATTCTCTGATTGGGGATTCCAACATTTCCTTAAACGCTATGCTTTGGGAGAGGGAGAAGGGAGACAGAGAGAGTAATTTTTGGTTGTTTTCTACATAAAGTGCAATATGCAGCCTCTGCACTCTGCTCTTTTAAAAACACTTAAAGATCAACACTGTTTCAGCTCTGTCTTGGCTTCTAGAGTCAGACTGTTTTCTCCAACAGTAATGTGATGCTGACCCTGAGTCATGCGGGCCCTGGGTATTACTTCTTTTTTCTTTCTTTTTTTGGTCTTTTTGAGACAGGGTCTCCCTATAGCCCCATCTGGCCTGGAGCTTGCTTTGTAGACCAGGCTGGCCTCGAACTCACAGAGATCCACCTGCCTCTGCCTCTGCCTCTGCCTCTGGAGTGCTGGGATTAAAGGCTTAAAAGTGTCCACAAAGTCTTCCTTCTAAGTTCTCCCCACCTTAGAAGCTTCATCATACACTTCCCTAGACTAGGAGTATGTTGTTTAAAATAATGAGGAAGCACTTTAGTTGGATAAAACAACTAAACCAAAAAGAAGAAAAAATGTTTCATATAAAGAAAGGGAAGAGCCTGTACTGACCAAGTCTGCAGAATGCATCCCAGGGACCGGGAAGAGCCTGTACTGACCAAGTCTGCAGGATGCATCCCAGGGACCGGGAAGAGCCTGTACTGACCAAGTCTGCAGGATGCATCCCAGGGACCGGGAAGAGCCTGTACTGACCAAGTCTGCAGGATGCATCCCAGGGACCGGGAAGAGCCTGTACTGACCAAGTCTGCAGGATGCATCCCAGGGACTGTTGAAAAAGGCATGAGGGAGGCAGAAGTACTGTCTCAGCTGAACAGAGAACACCTTCAACATAGTTTGCTGTGTGTTTGATGCAGTTCACTTTAAAATCTTTTCATAAGACTCCAACACAGTTTTATACCTTTTCAAGGATTTTAAGAATGTCTAAGTGGTGTTTCTGTTGAGCAGGGAACCTTGTTAAGGTTGTCCCACAGGGATCCTGCTTTCTTTGTCTTCCATACACCTCATTCAATGAACATCCATTTCTATAAACCATGGTACTGTATGTAGGATGAGTTTTCTTCTTTCCACACTCAGCAAAGTGCATCTTTGCTTGGAGCACTGTAACAGACACGGTATTCCAAAGCTGTCCTTTGTCTCCTTATTTCAGTGGCATTAAAAGGATCATTTGAAGAAGCCAATGGATCATCCAGTATAATTCTCCAGGATTTAGTTTCCTCTTAAGGACAAATTTCCAGTAATAGCGCCTCCCATGCCTCCTTTCCTGTTTTATTGAATAAGCAGGAGCTGGTCGCTTCAGTATCCACAGAACAGTAAGCCGTGTGAAGCTCGTAAGTCAGGCCCCTCTCTGCCACCCCAGGTGCTCTTCAAAAAATTATACCGCACCTTAAAAAATTATTGGGGGGATTATAAATATTGCATGCTAATTGTAAGAAGATCAAGAAATCTAAAATTATACAAAGTATAAAGTGGAAATCTTTTTTTTAATTTTTACAAAAACTTTGAGAATTTCATACATGCATATAAGGTGTTTTGATCAAATCCATGCCCACTCCCTTCCCTCCAACATTCTCCCCCCTCTGAAGAGGTAACCCTAAAATCTTTTAAGGATTAGATACAAGCTCCCAAATACTTTTGACATTTTTGGCCTTTGGAACAGAGTATGTTGCTAACAGGCCCAAGGACATTTTGACTTTTAGCCAAGAAACTGGCTACATTTCTTTGGGGTCTTTTTATCCTAACTGCCTAGCCAATTCCTACCTCCTATCCTTAACACACCATCCTCTGAAGGGGTTACCCAAATTGACAATAGGGCATCAGGACGCAGACCATTCTGGCTTCTTCCATGCTGAACAGGGATGCA